ACACAGAGGATGGTTTTTACTTACAGTTTCAGATTCTTCCACAAGAAGCCTCCTAGTAACTATTGCAACGTGAAGAATACCCTCCATACCTGCTGGATCCTAAAACAAGGGAATGTATAGCAAAGCAACTATTGAAGTGGGGAAAAATAAATATCCAAACAGTGAGGGAAAGCATTAAAAGGGAAACAAAAGGGATAAAGAAAATTGCTTGCTTGATTGTAGTAATATTCATTTATTTGACTGCAATTGAAGGAAAAATTCGCTATGATAGTCGTTATTTAGTCACTATGCCCAAACTTCTCCTCCATTGTGCAACAGAATTCAAATTCCGTTAAATAAAAAATATTAACCACCAATTGGCGTGTCCAATGGATTTACCATATACCCCAGAAAAGTGCAGATGGTAGTCTCCTAGCCGCTTATCTGCCCTAGGGGTGGGCATTGGTGCGGATGGACCCGCGTCGCACCATATTTATATAAACCGCACCGCACCGCATGTCAATTGTACCGCACCGCATATTTGACCGCAATGCAATCGCTGCGGTCAAACCGAACCGCATTAATTAGCGGTTTGGTGCGGTTTAGACCGCATCGCATGTTTGATCACAATTCTTATGCGCTTAGCTTTCCGTTCTTATGCGCTTTTATTTTTCAATTTCTCTCCCCCTTTACTTCAAACAATCTTTCGACGCTGAAAACAAGGTAGACCAAATTTCCACAACTGCAAATTTCTTGTTGCTTTTTCGTCGATCAATAATGAAAGAATGCAAAAGAAGATCCCCTGTTCCAAATCCCTGCTATGTCGTGAGTGAAAGAATGATGATCATCATGCCTTATGCTGAAAGAAGAACACAATTGGTGATAAGATACGTATGAACCCCAGCTCAAAATGTAGCTTTGGAGATTTGAAATAATTCATGTGGCAAATATATCCCATCAGTGCCTCTTAATTACCAGTAGAAATCCCCTTAGGCCTTAGCTGCTGCAACTGTTTGCACAACTAAGTCAATTACCAGTAGAAAGTAATGCTAAATTGAGAAGTTGACTAATCCATTAACACTAGAATTTGAACCTCTCGAAACCATTACAGACACAAGACACCGAGGGACTTCATTCTTCGACTACCCATCTACACCGTCTTCTAGAAGCTCCAATGGGTATGTCTCCGCATTCTTAGGGTCGAGGTCAGCAATTGATCCAAACAAATATTTCACCTTTGACAGCTTCTGTGTAGGTTCAAGCAACCTGAAAGCACAAATTTCAAATCATTGTTCACATATGGAGTGAGATGCTAGTTAAAAGTAATTGCTTCTGAACCAACAAGGACAATATGATTGTCAATAGTAGTAGAAAATGCTTCTGGAATCCATTCCAACATCATCACTCAGTCTAAACAACAACCTAGTAAATGAGAACATGGCATAAAATCATAATGACACAAAAAAAAAACAGAAAGACAGAAATGTGTTAGCAGCAGGCACATTAGTTGTTCTTGCTACTATCCCTTTCTCCCTTTCTTTTCTGAACTTACCTTGAAGCAATAGTTAGACAATTCAACTCGGATACAATGCCTATAATTAGCATAAGGATTCTGCAACCATTTGACCTAACAGGAAAGTAAGCTTAAGTCCAAGTAAACACACAAATAACCCCCTGCACCAGCATAAATTGAACATTAAACCAGGCCAAGTTTAGGACACAACAACACAATAAAGCTCAAATACCAACAACCCTCGATGCAGCACCAAAAGCAGTATTGAAGGGGCAAAACAGAATGTAAAAATTGAACAGAGGTTGCTTTACGGCTCAAACTTACAAACCCAGTAGAGGAAAATGATGAGAATAGCCTTACGGCTCAAACTTACCTTGAAACAATTGGATACCGAACGTTTGCATCCGATAGCCACTCCATGATGATCCCCGCTTGATCCCCTGATGGCAGGCCTAGAATGATCGAGACAAAAGAAGCTTCCAACGACTGCCACAAATCCCCTTCTGACTTTGCAGGTATATATATATATATGATAATTAACTAGTGCTCTCTTTGTTTCAGTCCGGCTACAGAGTGCTTTTTTTGCACTTACACAACCAAAAACGAAATATGTTGCAGCCAACATTCTGGGGTTAAAGGAACTAGTGCATGGCCTATCTTGATCCGACTGTTCCTATTTTGGCTGTTGCAGCCAAAATTCGAGAAATTGAAGCACAACCTAATGTTTCCATGACAGAAATAAGCAAACCCAGATCATGAATTGTAGCAAATTGAACCCAGATCTGAGAAAAGTTAGAAAATCTTAGAATCCCTTACTATAACAGAGAATGAAACGCACCAGATCAGATGGGAAATGGAAATCTTCGAAACCGATACTACTGCTTTCTCGACCGCCAACGACGACCGTAGTAGAGACTGAGGAATGCGCCGACTGTGGAGTGCTGAAGTGTTGGTGGGCGACGTCGTCCCCCTGGCGCCGACTGACGGAGCTGATCTCGAGGTGAAAGCTGCCGGAGACGGAAGAGGAGGAGAGAGCCTTGAGGATGTCGGAATCGGAGGCGTGAAGCGGGGAGCGGCAGAGAGGGCAGGTCTGGTTGGAGAGGAGCCAGGTGTCGATGCAGGTGGGGTGGAAGGCGTGGCAGCACAGAGGGAGGAGGCGGAGCTTGTCGTTTGGCTCGAATTTGGAGAGGCAGACCGTGCAATCGCCCGAGGAGGAGGAGGCTGAGGCTGAGCGGCGGTGGATGGAGGCGAAGGTAAAGAGAGGGAGGGAGTCAAGGAGAGAAGAGTCGGTGATTTGAGGGGATTTAGCGGTTTGCGGTTTTGAACCGCAACCGCGCGGTTTTGGTCGGCTCGTACCGCAAAATCACGAACCGCTTAATAATTAAACCGCAAATGAAACCGCAATCTTAACGGTGCGGTTTGGGCTTACCGCACAAGTGATTTGGAGCGGGCGGAGCGGTTTGGACCGCACCAATGCCCACCCCTAATCTGCCCCATTTCTGAATTGCTGACAAAAACGACAACAAGAAGGATAACCCCATTTCTCTTTTCAATTTTACTTTCCCAGAGTGAACGCCCTTGTTAGTTGTGTTCTGCTTATGCTTTTCCGATAACAACAAAATTTTGTTTCACTTTGGTTAATTTGAATGAAACTCATGTAACTTAATGCTCAAGCAAGCGGTGTAGTTACCAATCTAGCAAAATGCAACACCCAAGTTATTACAAGGGTAATCTGAATGGAAGTTTGCCAAACTTGTGAGCTTAAAACTTCACTTGAAACCCAAAATGAATTTTATAAGTGTTTTTGATGAAGGTATCAGTTTAACAGCTCTTGGATACTAGTACTTCATCTAACTACTAGGTACATAATTGTGCTTTCGGTGAAGGACGAACCCTCTACAGCATACTTCGTCCTCCTCGATCGTACAGGCAGAAAGTTCTTCAACATCACAGCGGAACTGCTACTCCACGCCAATGGTGATTTGCTGCAACTACCAGAACATATCTCCTGCTCAGTGGAAACATCAAGAAATTCATAATCAAACTGACCAGGTATAATATCGAGCAATCCTTGAGCACATACATGATACACCATCACCAAAGTCACGGATAGGGATCCAGAAAGTATCTAAGCATACGAGGCCGCCCCAGAAAAGGTACAACTACAGTGTCTCTTAACATACACAGCATTTCAATAAACATGAAGATAGACATATTCAATGAAACCGACTCAGCCTTACAAGTTACCATTTATTTAGAGAAAACATACAACGAGCAAAACATCCACCAATTCGTCACTGTCAACTATTCCTTGAATATTTCATGGATTTATTCACATCTATACTTAGATGGATAAGACTGCACTGCATAACAACGAACCAAAGGCTTCAGCTAATGACAAAGCCGGTAGCAGCGCCTGCAAACCGCAACACTAAGTCTCTGACACCCATGAAAACAGAGAAACAAGAGACACATTTCGCAGTGGAGGAAACAAACTAATAGGAAAAGGCAGCCGGAGGTCCAGCCAAACACAAGACAACATAGGTCACATACTACAAGAAGCTCAAGGCCGCCTTGGTGATATCAGATTCCGACTAGCAAAATCCAACAGCACCACCATCATTCATACCCAACATCTACTACTATGCAAAATATTCAAGAATGTAATATCTAGCACTCATGCACGAATGAAAGACGAGGACAAAACTGCATAAAAGGTAACCCACCCACCCTAGAGGATGAAGGCATCAAACAGGGCAGGGTAGAAATTTGCAGGATCTGGAACAGTATAGAGACGCTTTTCGGGAACATCAACATTCAAGCGAATATCATTGGTTTGTTTTTAGATGTCCCCACCGCCATTGGAGATGGTGATGGTGATGACGCCAAAGATATTCTCAAAACTGTAAGCCCCAAGGTACCGCGACCTGTGCCATACACGAGACAAAACGTGGTGCTCAATTGATCCTTTTGCAGCTCAACCACTCTGCAAACCATAATAGAATCAACACTGAATACTTGAGGGATTTCTTGTTTGTGCAGTCCACGTCCCATCTTGACATCGATCAATTCAGCAAAGGCAGCAGTTCCATCATAATCGTCCATGCCAATGTCACTGAGGTTCATCTTAGACGACAAGGTTGCGGCAGCATGTGGAAACCGAAACTTATCCAAGGCCCAGGTTTCGGTGCCAGCATCAAAGGAATGCGTACGTCCGCCGATAACCACATACAACTTGTTGCCGATGACACCCTGCTTGTACTTGAGACAATGAGAGTAATTTTCGTAGTCATTGGTGCCCGGCACGTAGAAGGGAGGTGGGGGAAGCGGCCTCCACCGACAACACCTCAGGTAAAGTTTCTTACCACTCCAATTCTTATCTTTGTCATCCCTCGACGCCGGCCGCTTCTTATGACGACCTCGGGCCATGGTCACCACAATACGGAGACGGATAGGAAGCCCTCGATCTCGATCTCGATCTCCCTAACCCTATTCCCCAATCTCTTCCCCCGTTTATATATCGTCTTAGGTCTCGCAAGTTTAGTAGCGGGGCTTCTTGTTGTGCCCTGAACTATAACTAGCTTTTACCAAGGAACTAAGTAAATACACAAATAGCAGCAAACAAACTTGAGTCAGTTATAGATTCCACGAAACGAGTAAACATCACTCAATCCTTACATTACACATAATACTAATTGCAGCAGGGTTTGAAAAGTTGTCGGGATCATGATGGATAGTAGACTGTGAGTGGCATCATTAATGTTCAATCATCGTCGTAAGAGAGATGGAAAGCGGTCGAACAGCCAGGCGCGTCAGGTTGCTCTGCTCCGCAGCAGTCGTAGAATTTAGCTGCATATGGTGGATCATTTGGCCCCAGCTCATAGTACCTTCATTCAATTTGAGTACAAGAAAGAAAGGGTTTGATTAAAATTGGCACAAAACATACGAACATTGTGTTAAGGAAGACCGGGTCTTATGCCCACTTCCTCCATTTTCTCCACACTGTTATTCTGTTCCTCATAATACTCCAACTACTTGCACTACTGCTGCTGTATCTTTACTGTATAAATAGACAATTGATTCATCAATAAAATGCACAGAATTCCCAGCTCGTACATGGTATCAGAGCCGAACAGCCTAACGGCAAATTAAGCCTTCCTTTTCCCACCCCCTCTCCTCCCTGCTTCTTCTTACCTTCTCTGTTCTCATGTCGACTTCCTCCTCCTCCTCTTCTGATGCCACAGGTCCCATTCCTGCTGCTACAAATCCCATCTCCCTCTTCAATCCTCCCTCGGCCCCTCACATAGCCACCAAACTCACTGCCACGAACTATCTTCTATGGCAGATGCAACTCCTCCCACTTCTTACGAGCTTTGATCTTTCAAAGTTTGTTGACGGCAGCTTCCCCGCACCGCCTCGCACTCTTGATGGCGGCCAAGCAAACCCAGAATACATTGCTTGGCGTCGTCTTGACCAACTCGTCTTCTCTTGGATCGCCGGATCTCTCTCCGATTCTGTCCTGTCCCGCCTCGTCGGTTGTTCCACGGCGCTTGAGGCCTGGACGCGTCTCGCCTCCACCTACGGCACCGGCAACCGCCAAACTTTACGCGGCCTTCGCACCCAGCTCGGTGAGCTTTCTCGTGGCACAGAGGCTTGTGCTCCATACCTTGCTCGTGCCCAAGACCTCGCTGATCGCCTCGCAGCCCTGAACAACCCGATCTCTGACGACGAACTAGTTGATCGGTGCCTTCGTGGTCTCGGCGACGAGTTCCTGCCATTTGTGCGCACCATTGAGACCAAGCTGGAACCTCTCTCCTTTGCTGATTTTCATGGCCTACTGCTCAACAAAGAACACCGCCTCCGCCGCCGTGGTCCTCTTTCTGATGGTGGTTCAGCCCACGCAAATTTTGGTCGCTACGGCGGTCGCGGCACTCCCTCCTATGGCGGTCGTGGGCGCGGTCGATTTTCTGGCCGAGGTCGCGGATCCAGATATGGCGGCGGTGGCCGCCCTTCTCACCCCTTTGTTGTTCCCTCTTCTTTTGCAGGACCAACCCACGGAGCAGGGCTGCTTGGGCCCAGGCCCAATCACCATTCATCCAGTTCGCCGGGCAGCACGCTTCAATGTTACACCTGCCATGGCTATGGCCATCTCGCTAAACACTGTCCCAACCCCTCCCTCTCATCCCGCTATCCGCCCCCGACCAACTATGCCTCCTCCTCAACCTCCCAAGACTGGATAATGGATTCTGGTACCAACTATCACATCACCTCTGATCCCAACATTCTCGCTCTTCACTCCGAATATAATGGGCCCGACGAGGTATCTTTTGGCAATGGTAATTCTCTTCCCATCTCCCATTCTGGTTCTTCCCTTGTCTCCCTTAATCGTCATCCTTTTCATCTTAAAAATATTCTTCATGTTCCTTCTGCTTCTCACAATCTACTTTCTATTAACTCTCTCACACGTACTAATCCCTTATCCATTCATTTTGTCAATGATTCTTTCATCATCAAGGACTCTCGCTCCCAGAAAATCCTCCACCAGGGTCGCAGTAAAGATGGGTTGTACTCGGTGCCACTCTCCATTCTTTCCCAAGTGGCTCCTCGTGCGTTTCATTCCACCCTCTCCCAATGGCATCAACGTCTTGGTCACCCTCACTTCCGTGTTCTTCGTCAAGTTCTCCACCATAATTCTCTGCCTGTCTCCAATAAGAATGCGGTTCATTTGTGTCATGGTTGTAGTGTTGCCAAAATACACAAACTCCCCTTCACCCCTTCAGATTTTGTAGCTTCCGGTCCACTTGATTTGATTTGTAGTGATGTTTGGGGTCCTTCCCCTGAACTTTCTGTTGATGGTCATCTCTATTATATTTTATTCTACGATCATTTTAGTAAATTCACTTGGGTCTTTCCCACTCGTTATCGCTCCAACCTTCTCTCCATATTTATCACTTTTCGCACGCATGTGGAAAAATTCTTCAATCGACCCATAAAAATTTTTCAAGCCGACTGGGGCGGCGAATACCAAAAATTAGGATCTTATCTCAAAGACCACGGCATCCTTCACCGCTCCTCTTGTCCCTACACTCCCGAGCAAAATGGTTGCGCCGAACGCAAACACCGGCACGTTGTCGAAACGGGTTTGGCTCTCCTTCACCATGCCTCTGTTCCACTCAAATTCTGGTCTTATGCTTTTGACACTGCCGTTTTTCTCATTAATCGCATGCCCACACCCCTGCTCGCTAATCGCTCTCCCCTCGAAGTTCTATACTCTCAAAAACCAGACTATTCTTGTCTCCGCATCTTTGGTACCCTCTGTTACCCTTGGCTTCGCCCCACCACTCGTCACAAACTCCAACCTCGTTCTGCCCCGTGTGTTTTTCTTGGCTATAGCTCTACCCACAAGGGCTATCGGTGTTATAATCTCACCACTCACAAAGTCCACGTCTCCCGACATGTCCTTTTCGATGAGAATTGTTTCCCCTTCTCCGACCCAAAATATATGTTGCCTCCGTCCACCGCCTCCTTTCCCACACCCTCGTCGGGTTCGTCCACACTGCCCCTCCCTGCTGATCTCTTCCCTTTATTTCCCTCCCCACTCTCACCCACCAAGCCCACTTCATCTTCGGCCCACCCACCAGATGCAACTCCTCCTCCATCAACCAGGCCCCCTCCCCCTCCCCAGCCCAATGCATCCTCCTCCCTCAGCCCACCCCATCCATCTTCCACGACCCGCTCACCTTTGCCCTCGTCCCATTCCCCACACAACCCGCCGCCGCCACCGAAACCTACTCGACCCCTCCTTCAATACCATCGCCGCCGCACTATCCCCCCCACCTCCACTACCCCATCGCTTCGCCCCGTGATCCCTCTACCCACGACGACGAAACCCAGGACTCCCCGACCTCGCCCCATCATTTCCGCCATTCCACCTCCCCCTTCCCGTCTCTCCCCGACCACTGACTCTCAGCCTCGTCGCCCACCCTCTCTTTCCCAAACTCACCCACCGCCCTCCTATCATATGCGAACCCGTAGTCACACCGGCAACCTGAAACCAAAAACATTTCTTTCCACCTCTTGTCCACTTCCTCCGATACCCAAAACAGCCCGTGAAGCTCTCCGAGACCCCCATTGGCGTGCTGCCATGTTCGAAGAATACAATGCCCTGCTCCGCAACAACACCTGGCTTCTGGTTCCTCCTGCCACCGATCAAAATCTGATCTCCTGTAAATGGATTTTTCGCATCAAAACTCGGCCCGACGGCTCCATCGAGCGCTACAAAGCCCGCCTTGTCGCTCGCGGGTTCCAGCAGCGTCCCGGCATCGACTTCGGCGAGACATACAGTCCCGTTCTCAAACCCACCACACTCCGGCTCATCCTCTCTCTCGCCGTATCACAGAATTGGCCGGTTCGTCAATTGGACATCGCCAATGCCTTCCTCCATGGCAGCCTCTCTGAACCTGTGTATATGCAGGAGCCGCCTGGCTTTGTCGACCCCGCTCGACCCGACCACGTCTGCCATCTCCGGAAGTCCCTCTACGGCCTCAAACAGGCGCCGAGAGCCTGGTTCCACTGTCTTCGTCAGGCCCTGGAGTCTTACGGGTTCAAGGGGTCCCAAACCGATCCCTCCTTGTTCATCCTCCGACGCGGCGCCATTCGTCTCTATGTCCTCGTCTATGTGGACGACATTTTGCTAACCGGGAATCAAGCCTCTGCTTTGCATTCTCTTCTGGTCTTTTTGCAGGGGAAGTTTGCAGTTCGGGATCTCGGTCGGCTCAACTACTTCCTCGGAGTTCAGGCTCATTGGACTCCGACGGGTCTTCTGCTCACGCAACAGAAATATATCCAGGCTATTCTTGATCGAGCCAAGATGAGTGATGCCAACTCCATTTCCACACCCGCTGCTCCAGCCACGAAGGAACCCGACATCACTCCCTTCGAAGACCCTTCCTTATATCGCCAGATCGTCGGAGCTCTTCAATACCTCCAGTTCACTCGTCCAGACATCTCCCAGGCTGTCAACTTCTCGGCACAGCATATGCACTCCCCATTGCAGCACCACTGGTCCGATGTCAAGCGCATTCTCCGTTACCTCAAAGGTACTTCTACACATGGCCTCTTCCTCAGCAACACCTCTCCATTGCTTCTCTCCGGCTACTCGGACGCGGCATGGGCAAACTCTGTTCTTGATCGACGATCAACCACCGGTTATGCTGTCTATCTCGGCTGTAATCTCATCTCCTGGTCCTCCCGCAAACAGCGCACAGTTGCACGCTCATCGACAGAAGCGGAATACAAGGCCTTAGCCACACTCGCTGCCGAGATTGTTTGGATCGAGTCACTCCTCACTGAGATCGGCCAGCCACTTCCCTCTCCTCCCAGGCTATGGTGTGACAATCTCGGTGCGACATACCTCACCGCCAACCCAGTCTTTCACACGCGTAGCAAACACATGGAAATCGACTTTCACTTTGTTCGTGAAAGAGTGGCAGCTGGACGCTTGCTGGTTCGTTACATCTCTACTGATGATCAGGTTGCCGATCTCCTCACCAAGCCTCTACCTCGTCAGCGATTTCTCCATTTTCGAGACAAGTTGAAGGTTCTTCACCATCAACTTGCGGGGGCGTGTTAAGGAAGACCGGGTCTTATGCCCACTTCCTCCATTTTCTCCACACTGTTATTCTGTTCCTCATAATACTCCAACTACTTGCACTACTGCTGCTGTATCTTTACTATATAAATAGACAATTGATTCATCAATAAAATGCACAGAATTCCCAGCTCGTACACATTGAATCTAATCTAAACAAAGAATTTATCTGTGAAATTTCAGTCTCTGCTTTTCCACTATGTTATTCTGTTCCTCATAATACTCCAACTACTTGCACTACTGCTGCTGTATCTTTACTGTATAAATAAGACAATTGATTCATCAATAAAATGCACCTGAATTCCCAAGACTCGTACATGGTATCAGAGCCGAACAGCCCTAACGGGCAAATTAAGCCATTCCTTTTCCCACCCCCTCTCCTCCCTGCTTCTTCTTACCTCTCTGTTCTCATGTCGAACTTTCCTCCTCACCTCCTCTTCTGGATGCCACAGGTCCCATCCTGCTGCTACAAATCCCATCTCCCTCTTCAATCCGCCCTCGGCCCCTCACATAGCCACCAAACCACTGCCACGAACTATCTTCTATGGCAGATGGCAACTCCTCCCACTTCTTACGAGCTTTGATCTTTCAAAGTTTGTTGACGGCAGCTCCCCGCACCGCCTCGCACTCTTGATGGCGGCCAAGCAAACCCAGAATACATTGCTTGGCGTCGTCTTGACCAACTCGTCTTCTCTTGGATCGCCGGATCTCTCTCCGATTTGTCCTGTCCCGCCTCGTCGGTTGTTCCACGGCGCTTGAGGCTGGACGCGTCTCGCCTCCACCTACGGCACGGCAACCGCCAAACTTTACGCGGCCTTCGCACCCAGCTCGGTGAGCTTTCTCGTGGCACAGAGGCTTGTGCTCCATACCTTGCTCGTGCCCAAGACCTCGCTGATCGCCTCGCAGCCCTGAACAACCCGATCTCTGACGACGAACTAGTTGATCGGTGCCTTCGTGGTCTCGGCGACGAGTTCCTGCCATTTGTGCGCACCATTGAGACCAAGCTGGAACCTCTCTCCTTTGCTGATTTTCATGGCCTACTGCTCAACAAAGAACACCGCCTCCGCCGCCGTGGTCCTCTTTCTGATGTTGGTTCAGCCCACGCAAATTTTGGTCGCTACGGCGGTCGCGGCACTCCCTCCTATGGCGGTCGTGGGCGCGGTCGATTTTCTGGCCGAGGTCGCGGATCCAGATATGGCGGCGGTGGCCGCCCTTCTCACCCATTTGTTGTTCCCTCTTCTTTTGCAGGACCAACCCACGGAGCAGGGCTGCTTGGGCCCAGGCCCAATCACCATTCATCCAGTTCGCCGGGCAGCACGCTTCAATGTTACACCTGCCATGGCTATGGCCATCTCGCTAAACACTGTCCCAACCCCTCACTCTCGTCCCGCTATCCACCCTCGACCAACTACGCCTCCTCCTCAACCTCCCAAGACTGGATAATGGATTCTGGTACCAACTATCACATCACCTCTGATCTCAACAATCTTGCTCTTCACTCCGAATATAATGGGCCCGACGAGGTATCTTTTGGCAATGGTAATTCCCTTCCCATCTCCCATTCTGGTTCTTCCCTTGTCTCTCTTAATCGTCATCCTTTTCATCTTAACAATATTCTTCATGTCCCTTCTGCTTCTCACAATCTACTTTCTATTAACTCTCTCACACGTACTAATCCCTTATCTATTCATTTTGTCAATGATTCTTTCATCATCAAGGACTCTCGCTCCCAGAAAATCCTCCACCAGGGTCGCAGTAAAGATGGGTTGTACTCGGTGCCACTCTCCATTCTTTCCCAAGTGGCTCCTCGTGCGTTCCATTCCACCCTCTCCCACTGGCATCAACGTCTTGGCCACCCTCACTCCCGTGTTCTTCGTCAAGTCCTCCACCATAATTCTCTGTCTGTCTCAAATAAGAACGAGGTTAATTTGTGTCATGGTTGTAGTGTTGCCAAAATACACAAACTCCCCTTCACCCCTTCAGATTTTGTAGCTTCCGGTCCACTTGATTTGATTTGTAGTGATGTTTGGGGTCCTTCCCCTGAACTTTCTGTTGATGGTCATCTCTATTATATTTTATTCTACGATCATTTTAGTAAATTCACTTGGGTCTTTCCCACTCGTTATCGCTCCAACCTTCTCTCCATATTTATCACTTTTCGCACGCATGTGGAAAAATTCTTCAATCGACCCATAAAAATTTTTCAAGCCGACTGGGGCGGCGAATACCAAAAATTAGGATCTTATCTCAAAGACCACGGCATCCTTCACCGCTCCTCTTGTCCCTACACTCCCGAGCAAAATGGTTGCGCCGAACGCAAACACCGGCACGTTGTCGAAACGGGTTTGGCTCTCCTTCACCATGCCTCTGTTCCACTCAAATTCTGGTCTTATGCTTTTGACACTGCCGTTTTTCTCATTAATCGCATGCCCACACCCCTGCTCGCTAATCGCTCTCCCCTCGAAGTTCTATACTCTCAAAAACCAGACTATTCTTGTCTCCGCATCTTTGGTACCCTCTGTTACCCTTGGCTTCGCCCCACCACTCGTCACAAACTCCAACCTCGTTCTGCCCCGTGTGTTTTTCTTGGCTATAGCTCTACCCACAAGGGCTATCGGTGTTATAATCTCACCACTCACAAAGTCCACGTCTCCCGACATGTCCTTTTCGATGAGAATTGTTTCCCCTTCTCCGACCCAAAATATATGTTGCCTCCGTCCACCGCCTCCTTTCCCACACCCTCGTCGGGTTCGTCCACACTGCCCCTCCCTGCTGATCTCTTCCCTTTATTTCCCTCCCCACTCTCACCCACCAAGCCCACTTCATCTTCGGCCCACCCACCAGATGCAACTCCTCCTCCATCAACCAGGCCCCCTCCCCCTCCCCAGCCCAATGCATCCTCCTCCCTCAGCCCACCCCATCCATCTTCCACGACCCGCTCACCTTTGCCCTCGTCCCATTCCCCACACAACCCGCCGCCGCCACCGAAACCTACTCGACCCCTCCTTCAATACCATCGCCGCCGCACTATCCCCCCCACCTCCACTACCCCATCGCTTCGCCCCGTGATCCCTCTACCCACGACGACGAAACCCAGGACTCCCCGACCTCGCCCCATCATTTCCGCCATTCCACCTCCCCCTTCCCGTCTCTCCCCGACCACTGACTCTCAGCCTCGTCGCCCACCCTCTCTTTCCCAAACTCACCCACCGCCCTCCTATCATATGCGAACCCGTAGTCACACCGGCAACCTGAAACCAAAAACATTTCTTTCCACCTCTTGTCCACTTCCTCCGATACCCAAAACAGCCCGTGAAGCTCTCCGAGACCCCCATTGGCGTGCTGCCATGTTCGAAGAATACAATGCCCTGCTCCGCAACAACACCTGGCTTCTGGTTCCTCCTGCCACCGATCAAAATCTGATCTCCTGTAAATGGATTTTTCGCATCAAAACTCGGCCCGACGGCTCCATCGAGCGCTACAAAGCCCGCCTTGTCGCTCGCGGGTTCCAGCAGCGTCCCGGCATCGACTTCGGCGAGACATACAGTCCCGTTCTCAAACCCACCACACTCCGGCTCATCCTCTCTCTCGCCGTATCACAGAATTGGCCGGTTCGTCAATTGGACATCGCCAATGCCTTCCTCCATGGCAGCCTCTCTGAACCTGTGTATATGCAGGAGCCGCCTGGCTTTGTCGACCCCGCTCGACCCGACCACGTCTGCCATCTCCGGAAGTCCCTCTACGGCCTCAAACAGGCGCCGAGAGCCTGGTTCCACTGTCTTCGTCAGGCCCTGGAGTCTTACGGGTTCAAGGGGTCCCAAACCGATCCCTCCTTGTTCATCCTCCGACGCGGCGCCATTCGTCTCTATGTCCTCGTCTATGTGGACGACATTTTGCTAACCGGGAATCAAGCCTCTGCTTTGCATTCTCTTCTGGTCTTTTTGCAGGGGAAGTTTGCAGTTCGGGATCTCGGTCGGCTCAACTACTTCCTCGGAGTTCAGGCTCATTGGACTCCGACGGGTCTTCTGCTCACGCAACAGAAATATATCCAGGCTATTCTTGATCGAGCCAAGATGAGTGATGCCAACTCCATTTCCACACCCGCTGCTCCAGCCACGAAGGAACCCGACATCACTCCCTTCGAAGACCCTTCCTTATATCGCCAGATCGTCGGAGCTCTTCAATACCTCCAGTTCACTCGTCCAGACATCTCCCAGGCTGTCAACTTCTCGGCACAGCATATGCACTCCCCATTGCAGCACCACTGGTCCGATGTCAAGCGCATTCTCCGTTACCTCAAAGGTACTTCTACACATGGCCTCTTCCTCAGCAACACCTCTCCATTGCTTCTCTCCGGCTACTCGGACGCGGCATGGGCAAACTCTGTTCTTGATCGACGATCAACCACCGGTTATGCTGTCTATCTCGGCTGTAATCTCATCTCCTGGTCCTCCCGCAAACAGCGCACAGTTGCACGCTCATCGACAGAAGCGGAATACAAGGCCTTAGCCACACTCGCTGCCGAGATTGTTTGGATCGAGTCACTCCTCACTGAGATCGGCCAGCCACTTCCCTCTCCTCCCAGGCTATGGTGTGACAATCTCGGTGCGACATACCTCACCGCCAACCCAGTCTTTCACACGCGTAGCAAACACATGGAAATCGACTTTCACTTTGTTCGTGAAAGAGTGGCAGCTGGACGCTTGCTGGTTCGTTACATCTCTACTGATGATCAGGTTGCCGATCTCCTCACCAAGCCTCTACCTCGTCAGCGATTTCTCCATTTTCGAGACAAGTTGAAGGTTCTTCACCATCAACTTGCGGGGGCGTGTTAAGGAAGACCGGGTCTTATGCCCACTTCCTCCATTTTCTCCACACTGTTATTCTGTTCCTCATAATACTCCAACTACTTGCACTACTGCTGCTGTATCTTTACTATATAAATAGACAATTGATTCATCAATAAAATGCACAGAATTCCCAGCTCGTACACATTGAATCTAATCTAAACAAAGAATTTATCTGTGAAATTTCAGTCTCTGCTTTTCCACTATGTTCTTGGCTATTGGATCATAAGCTACGAATTCCATATCAAGCAACGAACTTTCGGGACAAATCAATGGAAGGGGATCATTTGGACCCAACCCTCTGATTTTCCTGATTCGATTGATGAGAATCGGGCGGCGCAAAGTGGGGATTGTTGATGGAAAATTTTTTGGGAGAAAAGGGGGCAGAGTTTTCCGGCGGATTTTTACCTTTTCTGATCGTCGTGGCGGCGGCAGACAAAGAAGGAAGGGTGGAAGCGGCAGGCGGCGGAGTTATTGGACGAGGATGTGAAGCTCTGCTTGTATCTCCGGCATATCTTCTCTCCCTCAATTCTCTCTCGTTGTTTCTCCATCTCTGATTCACTTACCTTCAGTTTTTCCTTCCTACCCACTGTTTGTTAATGTATGCGACTCGGCACCTTGGCTCTCTCTGTCCTTAACGCCATACCGACTTATGCGATGCAAACTTCGGTTCTTCCCGCAGCTTTCTGTGATCACATTGATAGACGCATCCGTGGTTTTATCTAGGGATCACAGCAGGGGAGACGCCACATTCACTTGATTGATTGGGACACCATCTGTCGGCCCAAGGATCAGGATGGGCTTGGCTTGCGTAGTGCTCGGGATCTCAACACAGCGTACCTCATCAAACTTGCTTGGACCATCCTTAAGAACCCAGATGAACTCTGGGTACGTATCCTCACGGAAAAGTACCTGAAGGAGGGGTCTAACGGGGAGATTAGTGCTCGCAGGAAGACGGGTTGCTCATCCCTTTGGCGAGGCATCCGTCGGGTGTGGGCTTTAATGGATGGCGGTGCACGGTGGAGCATCCGAGACGGCAAGTCGACCTCTTTCTGGAACGCGGGATGGTTAGACAGCGGAGAGTGCTTGGCGGATCATGTCATTAACATTGATGACCACTTCCCGGGTGACGCGAGTGTGGCGGATATGGTTTCGTCGGAAGGTGAGTGGGATCTGGATCGCATTGCATATTACTTACCCCGTGATTTTGTTTTGCAGGTAGCAGGCACGCCCGTACCTAAGGAAAGTCTTGGTGAGGACGAGCTCGTGTGGGGACTGGAGCCAGAGGGGCAATTCTCCCTCAAATCTGCCTACAACCTTGTGGCGGAGATCAACAAAAGCGAGGAAGCCAGCCCGTGGAAGACTATTTGGAGGTGGCCAGGACGGAGCCGAGTGCGCCATTTCCTGTGGCTTGCGTTGCACGATCGATTGTTGACAAATGCTGAGCGCGCCCGCCGCCACATCGCCGACAACCCATTTTGCCAACGCTGCAGAGGAGACCCGGAGACCTTGGACCACGTCCTCCGGCAGTGCCCTTTCGCTAAGGAAGTGTGGGCGGAGGTGCTCCCCGCAGCGCTCCGTCCGGATGACAGCCGCGACATTAAGACCGGGTTAACAGAGTCACTCAAGTGCCCCCTCAGCCAGGTTCGTTTTGGTTTTACGTGTTGGTTCCTTTGGCGTGCACGGAATGGTTTCATTTTTTCAGACATCGTAGAAGCCCCTAACAAGTTATCGCAAAGGATCCTCGCCTGGGAGGTCGTCGCTCAGCAGAGTAAGCAAGCGGATCAAAATCTTTCACTGGGGAGGTCGGGGTCGCGTCGAGACGTGGCTGTGGGGTGGAGACCGGCCCCGACAGGGTTGATCACAGTGAACTCTGATGGGTCGCTCTTGCGGCCCTCAGGGTCTACCGCTGCAGGAGGAGCGCTTAGAGACTGGCAGGGTCGCTTGTTAGGGGCCTATACGATGAACCTGGGGAAGTGTACCATCACCCGTGCAGAGATCTGGGGGGCATTGAAGGGTCTTGAGCTTGCTTGGGAAGCAGGGCATCGACAAGTGGAGCTCCAGCTCGATTCTAGAACGGAGATGTCTCTTTTCCAGGATTCGGGACAACACAACCACCAGCATGCCAACCTTACCTTATCGTTCCAGGCCTTGCTTCGTAGGGACTGGGATGTGCGTATCACTCACATTTATAGGGAGGCCAACTTTTTGGCCGACTGTCTTGCTCACAAGGGGCACTCTCTGACCCCGGGCTTTCACTTTGTTCCTGTTTCGGACCCTGATGTTTGTCATTGGACCTTGTTTGACTATGTTGGCGATTCGATCGATTTATGAATAAGAGGTAGTGGTGCTTGCACCCGTTTCATAAAAAAAAAATGTATGCGACTCGGATTCTGGAATCATTCCATGCCTTACATCAAGGTTGTCAATCCGCGGGTCGACCCACTTTGACCCTGACCCGGTGAGAAAAATGGGACGCACGCATCCGCTGGGTCGATCGCTACAAGTTTTCTGGTTGGAGGTCAAATTGTGTCATTTTTCGTTGGTTTGCAAAATACGCCTAGTTTTCGATTTTTCTTTTCGCCTAACTCCATCTTTGAAATCCTAAATTGAACATTTGAATATATATGTTATATAAGTGTGCGTCAATTTTCACTGTATGTTGAATCTAAGTACGACATGTTTTTTTTTATAATGGTGAAATAAATGGGCTAATACCACTAGGAAACCCGAACTATTAACTTTGTGTCATTTGTGTCCTAAAGTATTCGATACGACATTTGTGTCCCAAACTATTTTTCCGTTATAGTTGACTAGCGTTGACCGTTAATTTTTAACAGAAACTTTAGTCAGTGCTGATGTGGCATCTGACGTGGAATTTATATTTTCTGTTATAATTATTTTCCATATAAATGAATAATCTAAAACAAAAACAAAATTACAAAAAGAATCCTTGTCCTCCACTCACTATGATCTCTTCTCCCAGCAGCCATGGCCGTGAAATCCAACGACGGCGGCGGCTACCTGGCTATCTATCCTTCCGCCACCGAAACGAACGAAAGAGAATCGTTTCTTTCCTCTAAAGGCTTAAAATCTCCTCCCTCGAAATCGAATTGAACTTCACTACTTCTCCTTTCTACCAATGGCGTGGTTGGTCACTTTAACGATGGTGCTCTGCACGTGTCACTTCGCTTCCGCCGCCGCCGCGGAGAATCATCTGAATCAACCGGGTCTGACTTCGCTCCGGGAGGCCGCCATTACTCTTGATTACCTTATCGTAGAGGGTGTAGGGCTCGCAGAGGTCGAGAATCAAGGTGAGGGAGTCGTCGGAGTCGAAGGCGTCATGGATCTGGAGGATGTTTGGGTGCGGCGGGAGGAAGAGCATGACCTTGGGCTCCTTCTCGAGGCAGTCGCGGTCGGCTTGGTCGGCTAGTAGGGATTTGTCGATGGTCTTGCAGGCGAAGAAGGAGTTCTTCGTCGGAGATAAGCACCAGGAGATCATGCCGAATCGACCCTGTCCGATCTCCTCGCACACCTGGTACTTGTTCTTCAGCGTCTCGCTCATCGCTAGAGTCTTCATCTTTTTTCCTCTTCTCTCTTCTTGCTTCTTGTCGATTGGGTTCTTAGTTCTTGTTGTCAATGGCGGAATTTGGGGGAGGCGGTGGATCTGGATATGAGGGGTTCTTGGTTCTTGACATAAAAAGATAAATAAAATTTAGGTTTAACCATTTTTATAACAATATTTTTTTTATTTCTTTAATTAAAAATATGAGGTGTCACTGACGTGGCATCTACGTGGCTGCCATGTCAACAAAAGTCAATGTTAATGTTGACTTCCGTTTGGTCAACCGTTATATATAACAGTCAACAAAATCGTCAGGACATAAATGACACAAAACTATAATAGGTTGGGACACAAATGTCGTATCGAATACTTTAGGACAGAAATGACACAAAGTTAATAGTTCGGGTTTCCCAGTGGTATTAGCCCGAAATAAATTAAGAAAGAGTTTAGAAGAAGAACAACAAACATGAAAGAAGAAGGGGGAACAGGCGCACGCCACCTACCACAAACAACAAGGGGCAAGAAGCAGCAGCTAGTCCAGGAAAGGAAAAACGGTACAACAGGCAGAGGAAGGCTCAAACAGGAGAAACTCTGAAGCCCATGGTCCACCCGAAGAAGATGATGATCAGCCTGGGTCTGCGAGTTGATGTTGGTTGCTACTACTGGGAAGGAGGCACAACCTTAACGTGTTGAGCCATGTTTCAACAACCACCCGATCTACATGATTAGCCACAATTAACCAGTGAGAGATCGCCTTGCCGATTCTGAAACAAACAACCCGAGTGAGCTCCATCCTATTCTTAAAGATCCTAGCATTCCGCTCTAACCAAATACGCCAGCAGAGAGCATGGAGGAAGACTTTGGAACACCACTCCATAGAACTAGCAGGTTGGCCACAAGGCCAGGAGGAAATGGTAGAAGGAAGATCGGTCGCCCTAGCCGGCAGCGCCACAAAGGCATCCATGATCCTCCAAACCTCCATGGAGAAGCTGCAGGAAATCATGATGTGATCGAGACTTTCTTCACTAGCACCGCACAAAACACACCGGCTTGGTAAGGCCCATCCTCTTTTTTTCAGAGCATCATGGGTAATGACCTTCTTCTGAACAACAATCCACATGAAAACACACACTTTGAATGAAACCGCAGCCTGCCACACAAACTTGAAGGGGAAGTCCGGTGAACTGGGATAGCGCTCCTTAATAAGCTCTCTGTACATGGAATTTGCTGTGAAACCAGAGTTGATCGAAGGCTCCTTCACGAGACGCGAGGGACCTGCGCACAGAAAATCAGAAGGCAAATTGTGAAGAATGTCAAGCAGTTTGATTCTCTCTCTCTCTCTCGGCCCCTCCTCTAAGAGTAAATTTAAGAGGAATATCCCAGGTTACACTCCCATCAGCATTCTGGAAGACGTCAGCAACCCGACAGCAAGGCTCCTCGGCGGCAGCGACAATCCGCGGGAACTCCACAGCGAGAGGCCCTCCAGTCACCCATCTGTCGAACCAGAAAGAGGTATCAGCTCGAGCACCAGGATCAATCCGTGTGAACCTCCAGAAAAGATTCTTGAGTTTCAAAATATGCATCCAAGGACTCAATCCTAAGGGGCCATCGATTTTATCCGTCATCCATTCTGACACATTGTTAAGAAACTTGTAATTAATCAACTCCCGCCACCAGGAATCCCTTTCCCGAGCAAACCTCCACCACCATTTGAAAAGCAACGCCTGATTGCGACTTCGCAGGTCCGCGATCCCAAGTCCCCCCTCAATCACTGAACACGGCGTATTAAACAGAGAGAACATGTAGACTGGTTGGGAACAAAGAACAGCCTTGCACAACGTTATTCTTCCCCCAAGAGACAGAAGTTTTCCCTTCCACCCATCCAACATTTTCTCCATTTTGCAGATAACTGAATTCCAGACTGAAGGGGATGAGGGCTAGGCACCAAGAGGAAGATCCAGATACCCGCAACCTAAGAATTTCCAGTTGCAACCTAAAATTTCAGCAAGTCTATCAATATTATCTACATCACCCACCGGAAACAGCATACTCTTTGTCATGTTCACTTTGAGGCCGGTAATTGTTTGGAAGGTGATCAAGGCCGTTGTTAGATTGAAGGCAGCATCCTCAGTTGCATCACAAAAAACGATGGCATTGGTGAAATTTTATATGTTATAACTCATATGTTAGATGAAATTTGATATAATTTATCAGGATAAATACAATATAATGACTCTTTACATATTTTCGAGCTAAACCGGACTAAAACGGGTGACCATTAACCTTTGACCCACTAGCTCTACCGGGTCCGGGTCAACCCGCGGATTGACAACCTTGCTTCCAATTCATCCCTATTCCAAATTGGTCCTCGTAGTAAGTGTTTATTAACACTTTCATCCTCAGCAGACAACTAGTTCTCTTCCATAAGACTAGCTCCAACCCATGGTGTCAAAATGCTATAAAGCCATATTTGGCTTTTTTATCTTCCTCCAACCCACAAAAAAATGGGAAGCAAAAAATGGGTATTGGGTTTTTGGAAGGGATATTTGGCTGGGTTTTGGGGTGGGGAGGGAAATTTCGCTGCCAAAAAGGGGCCAGCACGTCAGCTGGCCGAGAAGGACCGCGCGGGGTCCTTCTCGGCCAGCTGACGTGCTGGGCCCTTTTTTTTCTTTTAACTTTTTTGGTTGGGAATTTGTTTTTGATTTTTTTTCTCTATTCTCATTGGTTGTTTGTGATTCGATTTGAAATATAAATTTGAAATAATTGATGTAGTGACGAAAAAACGGTCATATTTTAACGGCTATAAAAAACGGTCATATTTTAACGGCCATATTTTTTCTTATATATTACAACACTCTTCATAGATTTCTCTTCACTCATTCTCAGAGCATAAATCGCATTCTCTCAAAATTCAATTATTATCATCTCTCAAAATAGAAATATGACAGGCAAGAGAGGACCTAATTGGCGTCCGAATGAAGATGAAATCTTGTGCAGAGCTTGGGTGTCGATATCAGAAGATGGAGCGGTTGGCACCAACCAGAAGTCTACAAGGTTGTGGGACAGAATGGCGGCAGAACATCAAAAATGGGATCCTACTACAACTCGTACTGCTATTGCAATGGAATCCCGAATGAGGATTATTTGCTATCACTGCAATGCTTGGAAGGGAGTTTTGCAAAGAGCACAAAGGCATCAATCGAGTGGCACGAACCAGTTTGATGTGGTATTCTTTTGGACCCTCAACTTGTGTATTTTCTTATTTTTTATGTGTCAATAAAAACTTCTATAACCCATGTACTAATTATTTCATTAGGAAAAGGAGGCAAGAGCAATATATAAGCAAGAGAATGGGAACAAGGCTTTTGTTTTTGAGCATTGTTTCGATATTCTTCGAAATTGTCCAAAATGGTACTGCAATCCTGGCCTGCTTGTTAGTCCCATTCCACCTATGGGGCAAGGTTCCCAAAGTTCTCCCACAGGTTTTGGTTCTCAATCATCTCCCGTGGAAGGCCTTGATGACTTACCAGATGAAGGAGCTACGCCTTTCTTGTTGACTCGCCCTGAAGGACGCGACAAATAAAAGGCAGCAAAGAAGAAAGGTAAGGTAGTTGCTGAATCGTCAGACATATACACTACTCAACTGCTAGAGTTTGGTAATGATATGAGAGAGATGCAAAAGTCGAGGATGGAGTACGAAAACAGAAAAATGAATGTTCAAGAGAGGAGACTAGAGCAGGAGAAAGAGGAATGGGCATACAAGAGGCAAGTGAGGGAGCGTGAAGCAGAAAAGTAGGCTGTGGAGAAGAAAGAGAGGGAAGCTGCAATACTTCAAGAAAATGTAGCTATTCTGGAGAAGGATTTGTCAAAGATGACACCAAGAAAGAAGAGATTTTGGAGGCGTAAACAAAATGACATTTATGGGTACGATCAAGATGATCCCAACTCTTATCCAAGTGATGGCGGAGATGGAGATGGCGATGCAAGTGGTGGAGGAGATGGCGATGAAAGTGGTGGAGGAGATGGAGATTACTTTCCCGTCATGGATTATTAATTAGAAGAAGATCCTATTTGTACTCTATTGTCTTTACATCTTTAATGTGTTGTGTGTTCTCTTTCAACTTTGTTATTTTCATGTTTCATGTGTACTCTTTGAACTTTGAGCAATTCCATGTGTAATAAAAACACACTCGGGCGCGTCGGTCAAAACACGGTCATGCCTAAATATGGGCACGGCCGTGTTTTGATTTAAGCGCGCCCGTGTTTTTACTGCCGAACCTGTTCCCCTATATTCAATGCTTCGTTTCTCCCTCGTCCGGACTCCGAATCAGTCGTCGTTTGATCCCAGACGCTCGTAGTCTCGTCCTCTTTCTTTTCATGACAAGCTTGCATGATTCTTTGTCCATAAAGTTAGGTAGAAATCCGTTCTTCTTCTGTTCATGCCTGAGTTTCTGCTCCCGAATCGCCAATTGATCTCTGATTGACTTGAAACTTGCGCCTATGCTTCACTTTATGTGCTAGGACCTGAAATATGACAAAGGAACACAACATAGCGTAAAATAGGCCAAAGAAGCGATAATTAAAGCTCAAACAATCAAGAAACAAAGGGGAAAACATGTGCAAATATCGAGTCATCAAATCCCCCCATACTTAACCGTTTGCTTGTCCCCAAGCAAACCTAACTCAAACCAATGCAACTCTCCAGAACTCTATAGCAACAAACAACCCCGATCGTCGGTAGAGGATTTCCTAGATCATATAGCAGCTTACGAGGTCAACTGGTCTTCTAAGACGTTCCCTATCTCTCTCAATGCGAGTACTTGACTCAAGCCAGGATCATGAGAAGAAGTAGAAGTAAGACAGTCGGTTCATGGATAAAGGGACTCATATCATTCACAACCAAGGACTCGTTGTACCGGGGTGCTCTTTCACTTCATTTCACCGTTGGAACCCCTTTTTCACTTTCATTTTACTTACTTTTTTTTCCTTTTTATTCACTT